ACATGCAACAGTTAGGTATCTTATTTCGAAACGTTTCGCCTACACAGTAGGCTTCATCAGTCGAGTACAGAAAAGTTGATAGAAAAAGAAGATACTTGAAGACGATGTAATCAGTCCATCACCCTTAAAGTTTTGAGGTGGTCAGTCCCTCATTCTGGAGAAGAGTATTGTTCCATAGTCTGAAACAATATGGAGTTGAATGTGTCTTACCTAACAACCTGTCGGTATTTTATACCATTTTAATAGTTATACGCTGCGAGGCTGCGTGTAGTCTTGCAATATACTACAGTGTGCAAGGCTATTTTAAGCTAGGCATTGATCCATGGTCCTTAAATGTGTATTCTACTTATTGTAGGTGACCTCTATTCCCCATCAAGAGAAAGGAGTGCCTTGATGCCGGTGAGAGACTCCTGATCCAGGGAAGTGGACCTGTCCTTCCCTTCTTGGCTAGAAACTGTTGTCCTTATTTACTATAAAAATTTACCAATTATAACATACTGCTACGCCAAAAGGTAAAATGCAAGATTGTAGACAACGAAAAGTGTAGACACACGAACAGAAACAGTTGAGCGCAGTAAAAAAAAAAGATCATTGTCCGATACTCACTGTTTAAGACTCTTTAAACAATAGTGAATTTGACTGTCTTAGCAGCAGTGAAATACTGCTATTATTAAGAAAATGGGCTGCTCCTGTAGACATATGATTCCCATAGCTTAGCTGGCTGCAATGTTAGCGCATCCCTCTGAATGACCCACGTGTGTTTAGCGCTTCACGAAAAAATAATAATAATAATAATAATAATAATATAGAAATCTCTTTACTGTGTTCCGTTCTTGACTTTCAGTATGACCATTGGCGTAACTGATATCTTAAAGGTCGTTGAATTTCGCTTTACAGCAGGGCAGCGGGGTTTTATATTGCAGAGAAAGTTAATCACTAAAGAAATAACATTGACTATTGTCAACACAGAAAAGAGCTCATTTATTTCCGTTCCGATATTTTTACTGTGCGTCTGTGTGTATGGCATATATATATACATATATATATATATATATATATATATATATATATATATATATATATATTTATATATATATATATATATATATATTATATATATATATAAAACAACCACTGTGAAAGAATAATGAAATTCCAACCACTTTCGTGACTACTCACATTATCAAGGAACAATAAAAGTGTGTGTGTGTCTGTGTGTGTGTGTCTGTGTGTGTGTGTGTGTGTGGTGTGTGTGTGTGTGTGTGTGTGTGTGTGTGTGTGTGTGTGTGTGTGTGTGTGTGTGTGTGTGTGTCTGTGTGTGTGTCTGTGTGTGTGTGTTTGTGTGTGTGTGTGTAATTATTTATGTTAGTAAGTTCAATAGTTTTGACTCTTAACAGCTTCTAAATTTACTAGCAAAATAGCTAAACAGGAACATGTAAACGTTCCAGAGAGAGAGAGAGAGAGAGAAAGAGAGAGCCACGTAGATATTCACTGTATTTCTTAAAAATATCTCTCATCACTTTATAATTCATTTTTTATTCGTTAAAGTTAAATCAAACTAAGCAACGAGATTTCTTGCGTAAATCTGAGAAAAAGGTTCGCTCGAACCTTTGGGAAAGACGAATCATAAAAAAACCAGACGGTACTTGAAGGGAAACTGACTTTAAAAAAATTCTATGAGCTGAAGAAAGTTTTATAATTTCACAAGAACGAATGTTTATACGTGGGAAAATTAAGCACAATCTGGTTTTAGATTTGGGCATCCTGTGTTTAACCTTACCTGCCCCTAAACTCACCTGAAAGCCAATGTTTACAAGCTTTGTTGGGGGAGAAGAGGTGGGGGAGGAAGTCGTAATTTAGCGTTGATCGAGGTGATAATGAGTAGAAGGATCTTGATCAAGGAATTTGAGATACCCCTTCCCTTGAATTCATCCTGATTAGCTGTGTTTTCCCACCAGGCTCTGTATGGCCCCTACAGGCTTAATGCTTCCCCAAGAATATGCAGTGCTAACGAAGTTTCAAGGTACAATCATATTCAAACTAGTAATATGCCTTTTAGCTATTGGTTATTGTACTATCTAGATGATTTAAGATGTTTGAAGTTATGGATTTTTGTTTATGCAGCATTAGACATACTGAAGAAACATATGTGTTTAACTTTAACCTGTTCGTTACAATGAAAATCGAAATGAAGGAATGAACACAGAACATGAGGGAATGCAGCACAGGACTCAGAGATTACTGTTCCGGACATTCCTTATTCCACAATCATAAGTGACTTTACACTGAAACATAGCTGTCAGTCATACCATGTTTTACTGGATTCGTGTAGATTATTTTCCTCGGAATGAGTTATATTTTTTGGCTCTGTCATTGATCTTTGTGTCATCTGAGGAAGTAAGGATATATTTTAATTATCTTTGAATCGATAATTAAGGTGTGCATCAAGCAGGCAAACTTGTGGACAATCAGGTGGACAGCTACTCAGATAGATAGCATTTGGTAGGCAGGTATGAATGTCAGAAGGTATGCATATCAAATAGGCATAAAGATAAGCAGGTAGGCAGCCAAGCAGGTAGGCAGCCAAACAGGTAGGCAGCCAAGCAGGTAGGAAGCCAAGCGGGAGACCAGACAGGCAATCAGATAGGTAGTCTGCCAAGTAGGTGAGCAGGTAAGCATCTAGTTATGTAAGCAGATAAGCAGATAGAGAGGCACTATCAGAAGCAGGTAGAGCCATGAAGGGTGGCCCAAGGTGCTCCTTCACCCCAGGTGTAAACAGTCCAACGTAAACATGTGCCATACTGTTACCATCACTGTAAACAAGACATTAAACTAATCCAAACACCATCCTCATCCCTACCACACTATCCAGTTCATGATCAGGCTTGCTAAGGTATATTTTCACTAGGGGAGAGAGAGAGAGAGAGAAAGAAGAAATGCCAGCTGCTCTAAGCTACATCAATCACCAGCTAAGAGCTATATCAGCTTGGGGAAATAGATGGCAAGTAACATTTGCCCCTGACAAAACGCAAATGATGATGGTCTCCAGGCAACATAATGGTAATGATGGTGCAGTAGTAAGGATGAATGGGAGGGTGTTGGCACATGGAGGAGAAGTTGATATCCTTGGGGTGAAATTTGACTCCAAACTAACCATGAAGAACCATGTTGTAAATCTTGCAAACAATGCAGCCAGGAAGCTTACAGCACTTCGCCGTATCTCGCATCTGCTTGACAGTAGGGGTTGCAAGATTCTGTACGATGCACAAGTACGCTCACACCTTGAGTATGCTCCACTTTCTTGGTTTGCCTGCCCCCCTCTCATCTGCGACTGCTTGACAGAGTAGAGAACAGAGCAAGACGTCTCATCTTTCGCCTGGACCCATCCTGGATAGATCTGTCATTTCAGCAGAGCCTTCAACACAGGAGGGATGTGGGTGGCCTTACTGTTATGTACAAGACCAATATTGTCGAAGTACCACACTTGGATCCACTTCGAGGACAGCGTGAAACAAGCTTTTATGCCACAAGACGGGCAGAGAGCAGCAACTTCACTCTGGCTGTACCCTTCTCCAGAACATCACTACATCTGAGATCATATATACCCAGGATGACTCGAGTTTGGAACACATTCGTACAGCATAATGATGTCAACGAGATAAGTCAGTTGATCAAATGAAAATGCTGGCCCACAGATGGCTCCAACTTCATCCTGTTCCCTACTTGTATGTCTCATAACAATAAAAATGCATTCAAATGAGCTGATGTAGGTAACAGCTCTTAGCTTGCCAATAAAGTTAGGAATCCTTAACCTGTAAATAGCTTGTCAATAAAGCTAGGGATCCTTAACCTACCTGTCAAACCCTGTGTAAAAAAAAAAAAAAAAAAAAAAAAAAAAAAAAAAAAAAAAAAAAAAAAAAAAAAAGAAAAAGAGAGAGGGAGACAGAGAGAATACTTCGGCACTTGTATCTTGCATCGCCTGCCATCAAGGGTTACTGATACAAACAGCAAAAATATCATTTTATTTATTTGGAATATTTGGACGTACAAAATAGCACGAGGTGCCTGACAGATGTTGTTTGTAGCTTAATACGAACACTTCCAGCTGGTAAACACACACACACACACACACATACACACACACACAGCCAGGTGAAGAGGCGGGCCAGGAGCTGTGACTCGACCCCTGCAACCACAACTAGGTGAGTGCAACTAGGTGAATACACACACAACACACACACACACACACACACACACACACACACACACACACAACACACACACACACCACACACACACACACACACACACACACACACATACACACACACACACACACACACACACAACCAAACACACACACACACACACACACAACACTACACACACACACACACTCAACACACACACACTACTACATAAGCTCAAACACAACACCACACACACACACACACACACACACACTTACTAACACACACTCACACAGCACACCACACATCACCACCACACACACACTAAACACACACACAAAACACACACACACTCACTACACAACATACATACCACACAGACACACACACACTACACACACCACATCATCACACACACCACACAACAACAACACACACACACACAACAACAACACACACACATACATCACACACCACACACACAGTAGAGGAAAAATCATACACAGTTTCAAAAGAAAGTATAATAGGGCTCAGAGGCAGAACCAATAACACCGGCGATTGGGCGTAGGAGCGAGGTCACGAGTTGGGATCGCTCCCGCAAGCACAACCTGGTGAGAATAACGAGTAACGAGAGTAAACTCTCGTTACTAAATCATCATGAATTAGGAAGGTATGATTCTTAGCGAGCTCTATGGAGTTCATACGAATAACAAAGATCAAGCCTAGAAAAGAATAGTCGACCGCATGTTCTGAACGCAAAAAAGTATTTACACTTTACCACAGAGATTGATCATACCGAAGTACACACTGGATTAACAAATGTCAAGCAAACGAAAAACAGATGATGTTAAGGGCTAACGAGTAGGATCCCCTATGGATCAGTACCAGGACCGTTACTATTTTTAATATAAGGGAATTACATTCCAGAGGTGATTAAGCTTAAATTATCATTGTCGATGATGTATAACTAAGAATATAAAGAACAGAAGGAAAAGACAAGCTACAGTTGTAGTACTCAGATCCGAACTGGAGTTCAGATCAAACTGGTGCAAGGTCATGTAAAGTAAGGAGTGAGAGAGATGACCGTCGACGGAATGCTTGAGAGAGTGATAAACTACAAATATCGCTAAAAGGGAGAAAAGAATTTTTATAAAATACTGTACACGACATAGATCAAATGTATTAATGAGTACGCTGCGCCAGCGTACACCTGCACACCTGCTCAAGTATAATCGGAAACTTGAGGTCTATAGGTTTATCAAAAGATTAGTCCAATACGTATGGAAAAGAGGTGTAGGTATTTGTATTTCTATTGGGTCTGCCCTTTCTAAGATACCAGTATTAAAAGATGTAGCTAATATTAGAGAAACAGCGTTAGGTGTCAGTCTTTGCTATTGGAGGTTTAAAACGGTAACTGGAAGGACATAATTGTGTTCTACAAGTTACTCAGAAAATTTGACAGAGCAGTTAGGAACTGATTGTAATACGAAGCACAAGGGTGAGGGGGCTATATAAGGAAGCTAAAACAAAAACCGCAGGTATGTTAGAAAAAAGTTAATTGAAGCGACTATTGGGTGGTAAATACTTCAGTATATTTCAATTACGCTAGCCGTGATGCTACGTATCTTTAAGTGATGTCCTGACTGCCTGAGGGTACGTGACTGGCCAGGGTACGTGACTGGCCAGGGTACGTGACTGGCCAGGGTATGTGACTGGCCAGGGTACGTGACTGGCCAGGGTACGCCCTGCGACCCAGCCTCACAGCGGGAGCAACGTCATAGCCGTTCAAACTATGCTGGCAAATAAGTATGGTGGGCTAGATAAGAAAGTGGTGGAGGCAGACACCGTACACACGAATTAGTACGAAACGATCCAAGAGGCCAGGATCAACAATGTTGGCGAATATACTGTAGTTAAGGAGGCGGGGCCAGAAGCTAAGATTATACTCCGTAAACTCAACTGTGTACACACACACACACACACACACATGTTCGACCTATAATCATTATCATCATCATCAGCATCATCATTTATTATGAGCACTAGCATTATAATGCATCACATCAGTGCATGACAGTGTTCGTCAAACCCTCACAATCCCTCCAGCACCAATAAGCACCAGTATACTTCTTCATAACTTTTTTCTTAAAAAAAAAGAGGGCAGTACATTTACTCTCTATAGTACGAAAACAAATTAACTGTATTTCTATAGTTTTGTTTCCAAGTGGCTTCAAAATAATTTTTAAAAAATACATCAGAAGTCGATAAGTACGTTTTTTCCTAAAAATTCCTTCACAATAAATGACTGTAGATTCTTCTCCCCCAAAACTCTTATTTTAATATTTGTGACTATTTATTCTTAGGAATTAGCGCTTGATTAAATTATTATCTTGACTACAAGAACGCGACTAGACGGGTATTTTGTGAGGCATTTGCAACGTATAGAATTTCCACGCAAGTAAACAAGAATGCAAGCCAAAACTTAAGAACAGACTTTCAGGAGAAAGTAGAAAACCGAGAATTTACGAAGCGCAGTAGGCACTATAAGAGAACACAATATCAACATCCTTGATCTCTTCAACCTCCCACTTTCATATATAAGAACTATCCCAGGAACACTTTGGTAGAAATTTTTAAGAGGAAAGCAGCTAAATTTCTCATCTAAAGTACCTAATCGGTGCTAGGGTGGGATAGCTAGGCAGGCCTAAGGCCTACAGAGTCCGGTAATGGTTATTATAATCAAAACGTAATGGATTTAAGAGTTTTAGAAGAAAAGTGTCAAATGAAAAGTATATTTTTGATTGACGGTTAAAATTTAGTCCAAAATATTCTTTAAATTTATGGAAATTCTACAAGTCAAAGGAAAAAATATTCAAAATTTCTTCGTTAAGCTTCCCCACGCTTGAAGTATAAGACAAATGCTTTAATATTAACAGAAGTTATTGCCAGGGAGAGGTTTTCATTGATGTCTTGCCTGGAGATGTCTTGCCTGGAGATGTCTTGCCTGGAGATGTCTTGCCTGGTGGTATCGTACTTGGCGACATTCTGAGACGACAAGAGATCTTTAACTAACATATATCTAATATCTAAACCACAAAATTCTTCGACACTGAAGCCGTTACGAAGACTTAGACTTACCAAGCAATAAAACATAGAAGGCAATCACATATACACATACAAATATACATACAGAGCAATCACATGCACACACAAGAAATTCACACATGGCATTCAGAGATACACAAGATATTCAGACATACACAAAAGATATTCAGTTAAACACGTAAGAAATTTAGACATTCGCAGAAGACATTCAGGCATCCCAGAAGACATTTGGAAATACACACAAGATATTCAAACATATATACAAATTTTAATACACGAATACAATCGCACATACGGAAAAGACATTCAGACTTACAGACACACGAAGACATTCACACTTACAAACCAGACATTGGAACACCTCCATTCGTCACTACTCAGTATAAAAATGACATTAAAAAAAAGACAATTTTTTTTTACCTTCTCTGCGAGTACCACTCTGTAACCAGAATCTCTCAAGCTTACTCAGATTCACAGTATTATATCTAGACTCACTAAGAGGGAGATCAGCTGACTAATGACGTGGAACTCGCTGATTTCTTGAATCAGACGAGCATACGTCACTGTGACATTACCCTCAAGGTGTTCATTTCATACATTTTAATAGGTAGTTTCTCTGTCGGTTACGTTATCAGGGTATGGGACAAAAATTGGACAAAACATTCACGTCTTCGAGAGGTCTGAAAATTATTTTCATCACCAGACAAATATCAAAATACCATAATATCATATATCAAAATATCATAATATCATATATATATATATCAAATATCATAATTTCCTTAGTACCTCACTAATGATATAATGACAATCAATACCAATGATATAATGACAGTCAATATCAATAATATGTCATCGTCAGCACCCCATAAAGTGAACGCTTAAGACTCTAAAACTATAAACACATTTTTGCATTAGTCCTGTATAAAAAAAGAGAAAACACAGATATCGGTTGATACACACATCGGCATTCTAAACTTAAAATGGAGGCAGTTGGCTCACTTTTCTCAGCCTTACGAATCTTAATAGTTTGTTTTGAAGTGTTTCCACAGTTGGAAGCAAATTCAGGATCTCACAGGTGTTTACAGTACCCTAAGTGCCAAAGATCTCTGGTGGTTTCAGGCTGTGAAATCCCTTATTCCCTAGATGTTCCAGAGATGGAAATGCTTAGTTCCAGCACCTTGAAGATGGAAATATCCCTAATCTCTGGAGATTATAGGATTGGGAACGTCTCCTGTCTCTGGACGCTCCAGGACTGCGAATACTGTAAGTATTCGCAGTATTTCCAGTCACTGAAGTTACCAAAACTGTAGATGTGACCAGTCCATGCAGGTTCAAAGGTCGGGAAGGCCTCCAGTCTTTGGTAGTTCTAGGATTGGAAATTCCTCCACTTTTTAGGAGTTTCAGGATGGGGAATTCCTCCAATCACTGGAAGGTAAATGGCTGGGAATGCCTCTAGTCTATGGAGGTTCTGGGGCTAAGAGCACCAACTGTTTCCGGAGATTAAAAACATAGAGCGTTTCCAGACTTCCTGAGGTATTACAAGAACAGCAGCCCAATTTATTTTTTGGAAGGAAAATGTTACCAAAACCGAGTACCATTTCTATCAAATTTTCCATCGTTCGATCCTAAAGGATATTTGTTTGTCTTAGCCTTCTGCAAATATGTGGCAGTGAACTAGACTTGTCTTCATGTTGCAGACTCTCTGGAAAAACAGAAAAGAATTACATGAATGACAATGTAAGGGATGTGTACCCTGATGAATTAATGAATTCTTAATCTTTTACAAATTACTTATGAATTATATAATTTACTAACAAATTTAGAGAAGTTAATTACTATTTGTAGATTCGAACTACACGATTGCCGCCTCAGTACTTTCTTTAATACCTCGGCACCTGTCATACGCCTGTTTAACAAACCTTTACAACTACACACCTTCCCGTAAAATCAGCTTAACATATTTTAGCACCCTAATCACCTGATCACATATTTTATCACCTTTTTGAAGATTTTATTATAACTCTTAAGAGACTTTACCATCATATCGTGTCAAACCTTTCATTATCTGGAGATTCTATGGTTGGGAATCCTCGGGTCTCTGGGCTGACATATTTATCAGACTAATCATATCCATACTTGCTCACCATGACACAAAGAAGCAGGGGCCGGATTTCGTCTTATAGAAACTTAGGCAGAGCCAAACTTAGAGTGCCAGGCGCGATACTGCTCATTGTTGCTTTGCGCTGGTTTGGTCTTCTGCAGAGCCGCCTCCACATCGCGCATGTTGATGGCGTCCAGTGTCAATTCTGGCAGCTCAGAGTCATCCACTGTTAAACGAGATAAAGTAAAAAATGGCTGTCAACCATACTCAAGATTAATTATCCTCTGCATTTGTTTTATTTCCGTCTCTAGTTGTTGTTATCTAGCTGAGAATACAGAAAAGAAATGATCGTGTGTCTCCTTCAACAAAAGACAAAATATGTGAATACAGAAGCAGTGGATAAAGACTAGCTGGTTTTTTGCTTCTGTGTAAACATATTTTGATCTAATTCTGAATGAAAAAGTAACTAGTTTATAATGACAGACACAGAGAGTAGACAGAGTCGGAGACAGACACTCTAAGATGGAAGCAGACATTCGATGATGGGTGGAACCACCCGGAGATTTATACATTTAGTATCAAACATAACCTGTTAAACTGAGTAAAAAATTGAAAGTGTACCAAGGAGTTGAAGATCACAATAATCAGGTGATATCACAATATGCAGAACAACACTGAGCAAAGCTTTGCTCACACCTCTGCAACACAATTGTCCTCAAAGATTTAAGTTATACCATGAATTAAGGAAAGATCCTAGACACTGACAATACGGATGTCAAAGAAGTAATTTGATAGAGATTCACTTCTCTTCCCTGTCGCACACCTCACTTGCGCGGCCTCTCGCACACCTCATCTGGTAAGCCATTCTCGCACTTCCGGTGATACTCGTGCAGATTTGAACGTTTCTTGGTGTTGCTCAGTTACTGTTTTCAAGTGTGTCAAGGCTGGTTTTTAAATGTGCTTATTCGATTAAATATATTTGTTTTATAGATAATACTCTGGCATGCTAGTTTAGGACTGGCTTGCCAAGGGTTCGAACTATCCCTTCTGTGATTTGATATTTTTTATAGGTTTATGTAATCTTGGCCCAACTTAATTTAATCTAATTCAAAATAAAGAAAATAATATTTGTAGTTACTGGAAGGAAAAAATTAACGCTGGGGGCCTCAGTTACTTTGCATTTATTCTAGGGAATATCTGCAAGATGTGGAGCTGCAGCGTACACTTAGACGGCAATATATTTCCGTTAGTATCAATTTAGAATTTGTTTTAGTTCTTGTCCGAAAGGTTGAAGTATATTTGACGTGTGAGGTACAGGTGATTTGCAGCTCTAGTGACCTTTGTTGTAATCAATAAGTTTTAAGCTTAATAAATTAACGAGTCTTATAAGAAAGTGAACATTGAAAAATGAGGTTGAGTTACCCCTGGGATGTATCTTACCTGAGTGATCCTCCAAGACATTGAATACCTTCCTGAGGCAGCCCATAGCAGCCTCCCGGCACACAACCTGCAGGTCTGACCCGCTGTAACCCTCAGACATCTGTAGGAGGAAAGTTGTGTTAGTAGCATCTGTGGCGGGATGAAGGAAGTGTTATTGGCATTTCTAGGAAGACGGAGTGTTAGTAATATCTGCAGGAGAAAGGGTGTGTTAGTGACATCTGTAGGACGGGTGTGTTACTGACATCTGCAATGGGAAGGGTGTGTTAGACTTCTGTGATAGCATTAATGTTTGGTACAGTATTTACTAAAAGAATTACTAATATCGTCTCAAATTATTTTTCTTTTAAAGGTTGAGTTGGTGTACAAATTATGATGAGTTTTTCCTTCTACCTATGGTGACTATTCTGTGTATCCCAACCTAATGAAAAATATATAAATGGTTTCTCTTTCCTGACGAGTTCACACGGGACGCAAATTTTCAGGGCACTTCAAAAAAGGTTTGACAATATTGTTTCTCTCTTGCTGCGACAATGGAGAGGCTTTCCTTACTGACGCACAGCTCAACCAACTGGTATCATATATTAAACTTATAGATGAGTGAGAGGTTAATAAACATCCATTTCCTGAATAATCAATAACTGTAATTCAAATTATACAGGAACTACAAGTAACTACGTTACTTCATCACAGTTTACTTAGGCAAAAAAAAATCACTCTGTTAATCTTTTTCATGAGCCTTGAGAATTTAACCAGAGTAAAAAACAATTAAGAGTCAACTGAAAGAGTCGAGGTTAACAGAATAGTTAATCTTAGAAGGACTTAAGAAAGGTAACCAAAATTTTTACACCAACCCAATAAAATAAAAATTATTTCATACCGAAAAAAAATATAGGTAAGTACTTTCCTTAAGGAGCAAACAAACAACACAAGAAAATCAGAGACAACTATTCACTACCCTACATATAATGTATTTAAAACAGCCTATCTAAAATCTGAAAAACTATTGTGCCTTGAAGCACTTGAGTCTTACAAATCCATGCAAAACTTTTGACGCTGTATGCCATACGTTACGGCTAGGTGACAGCCTGGAGATGAACAGTTGGAAACACAAGAGGTCAGTGATTGTTATCGCATAGGGAATCCTTTTTACCCTGTCCATTCACATGGAAAAACATACAATCACACTATGAACTGGAAAAAATATTAGTATAAAACGATTGTTGATCAAAAGGAAAATGATATTGATGTAAATTCCAAGAAAGTTCTTTGCTAAAAAAAATCTTATATACATTCAAAGAAACAAATTTGATTTTAAATCATGAGAGTTTATTGTTTGCTTCTCAATATAACCCATGGAAAGAGCGAACTATGCATGCTACTGTATAATTCTCACTAAAATAAATCTATCAACAGCTAGACTACATGAAATAGTTAGTAATGACATTCACAATAACCCCACATGTTAGTTTCGACCTTGACTGTTAAAACTTATGCCATCAACGACAATGCAATCAGTCTATTCAAATCTTCCGGAGGGGAAAGTCTCGTCAGAAATGTATTGACGGTCATTTCGAGTGTACCGGCAAGCTTGCGATCATTCTTTTCCCTCTCTAAGTCGTTTATTGTAGATTGTTGACAGCAGGGGGTTCAACTTTCTTGGACACTAAAAATTCCCACTCCGATTCTCCCATTATAAAATTCGGGCCATTTTAAAACCCCCTTAAAAGAAAAAATTTCCATCCCATCATTCCCTTATTTTTAAAGCTAACAACTTCTGGCCTCTATAACGGTACTTGGTTTTTGTTCCACTCTCCAAAAACTCTTTTACCAAACCGACTTCCTATATCCTTCCTGAATCGAATTTTTCCAAACTTAAAACCATTGCTGCGAGTCCTCTAGGCTAGATATTTTCAACACTATTTACTCCCCTTTATTTATTCCTGTCTTCCATTTATACACCCAATCATATCCCCCAAATCTATCTTTCTAGAGAGGAGATTCAGGCCCCTTAGTTACCTCATGGGGAAGGGTTTCGATAAGGGATAAACTTTGTCATCCCCCTTTTGTACTTTTTCCAGAGAATTTATATCCATTTGAAATAAGGGCCAAAACTGTGCAGCATAATTAAATGAGGCCAAACCCCAAGGGATGTATAGATTTGAAAAAAACCCTGAGGACTCCTATTATTTAGTTTCTTGATAGAAGCCAAGGATTTATTAGCTTTTGCGAACCTTATGCATGTTGTTTTGGGTTTCAGATTACTGCAACCGAACTCCTAAATCTTTTTCGCAATCCGTAATTTTAAAGTTACATTATTTATTTATAGTGGCATGGTTTTTGCCCTTTCCAAACATTTAGAACTTTGCATTTGTTTTTTAAAACTGTCGCCCTCTCCGACCTGCATCATCTATTCAAATCTTCCTGGAGTCCGAATGCCCTCGTCGAATGAATTCGACGGCCTATTTTGGTTTTTCACGGCAAGTTTCCCGATGTCGCTCTTTATCCCCTCATCTATGTCGTTTATGTAATTGTTGAACAGCAGGGGGCCAACACTGCCCCCTGTGGAACCCCCGCTCGGACACTTCCCCCACTCGATTTCTCCCCATTTATACAAACCCTCTGCAATTTTTTCAACCATGCTCTATCCCCGGAAAAAATTTCTCCTCCTATTCCTGTGCTTTAATTTCCTCAATATCTCTATGTGGGACCCTGTCAAAAACCTTACTGAAGTCCAAAATACCAATATCATATTCTTACCAGATTTAACCTCCTCAAATACCCTTTTTGGAAAAAAGTTTTAAATTCGTAAGCAGGAAAGCCCCTTTGTAAAACCCTGCTGAATTCGTTGATTAATTTATGCTTTTAAGGTGGCTACGAACTGCCTCGGAATTTTGATTCCATAAATTTTCCCACATGGGGTTAGGGATTTTGGTCTATATTCGAAGCTAAGGGCCTTTCATGTTTTTGAAAATAGGGATCACATTTTCCATTTTCCCTTATCTGGCACCATGCCGTTTTTAGGATAGTTGAAAAAAATTAGCCAAAGGTGTGCTAAGCTCTCTTTACTTCCTTTAAACCCTTTCATACAGTTCATCAGGGCCCCGGGGGTTTGTTAGGTTTTAATTTATCTATTTTCCTAAGGACCATTACTTGTGACCCTAAAAGTGCACAGTTTATTACGGCCTGTTCTACATAATTTACATTACTGGAATATCGCTGGTTCCTCCTGTTTAAAAACTGAAGGGGTATGTTTAAAAATTCAACACTTTTCCTTATCACGTCATGAGCTACCCGGGGGAACTTTTGATGGGCCTATCTTGTCCCTGATCACTTCTGATCCTGAAAGCCCTTTTTTGGGTTAGCCCTTTCGATTTCTTGCAACTTTAACCCATAACTCTTTTTGCTTTCTAATTCCCTTTTTTATTTCTCTTTTAACTGAATATTCGTTTTTCAAATTTCCCCTCTCCCCTTTTGATTTGCCCATATATGCCCCTTTTTTACCAATGAAAATTTTAATCTTTTTTCATCCATTTAGGATCATTTTTTTTTTTGTCTATTTTTCCCCATTTGGAACAAAATTTTGACTGAGCAGCAAACATGCCTGGGAAACTCATATCGGCAACCAACCACCTACCGACCCCTTTGTCAGGGCCCTTCCAGTTCAGCCCAAACCCAAGTAATTTTTTAGTCCCATGAAATCAGCCAACGAAAGTCGGGGGGGGAAACTTGATTGCCATTATTTGGGAATTCCCTGATAATTAAAAAATGAGTGATTTGTGATCATTTCCCCCCGCTCATCATTAACCTCAAGATTATTAATTTGTGTTTCCCTACTGGCAAGAAAAAAGTCAAGGAGGGGTTTTTTTCCCCTAGTTGGCTTGTCCAAACTGTTTTAAAAAACAATCCTGGATCGTATCAAGAAAGTCACCTACTCTAAATTTCCTGTCAAATTGCTCCTCATCTGTTAATTGAAATCTCCCTTTCACAAAATTTTCGTATGAATCCTTACGAATTTCGTCCCATAGAAGTTACTGACTCCCATCAAGATTTGGGCCCCCTGTAAATAAAACCCAAAATTATTTTTTCTCGGCCCTCAAAAACCAAAATTTTACCCCAAACCCCAATAAAAAAAAAATGATTTAATACGATGAGAATACCTTCCTTAAGGGCAAACAAACAACACAAGAAAATCAGAGACGCATTTTTCACTACCCTAATAAATTAAAAACACCTATCTAAAAATCATAAAAAAACTTTTAGTGCTTGAAGCCTTGAGTCAAAAAATCCATTGCAAAAATTTGACGCGTATGCATAGGTAAGGCAGGTACACCCCTGGAAGAACAGTGGAACCAAGAGGGCTGATGTATGCATAGGGGAAATTTAACCCCGTTTTCCCTCACAGGGAAAAATAAATCACACTATAACTGGAAAAAAAATATTACGTATAAAACTGATTGTTAGTTCAAAAGGAAAATGATATTGATTAAATCCAAAAGAAAGTTTTTGCTAAAAAAAAATCCCTAATATACATGTCAAAAAACAAATTTGATTTTAAAGTCATGAGAGTTTATTGGTTTCCTCAATATAACCCATGGAAAGAGACAAGATGCTACTGTATAATTCCCACTAAAATAAATATCAACAGCTAGACTCACAGAAATAAGTTAGTAAGACATTACACAAATAACCCACATGTTTAGGTTCGACCTGGACCGTTAACAACTTATAATGAAGCGAGAAAGAAAGAAGACCAGAACATATACGAGAGGGGGAGGCGGGGGCAGAAGAGGTGATGTTGATTATCAATGGTCGAAGTCGGACCGAAACGTTGTCATTACTTTCTCCTCTCTCTTAAGTACAGGTTATTTGAGTATTGTTTCAGTCACGGTATTGTGACTTTTTATTCTTTAGTGACACATAAAAAAAAATTCACTTCCGTACCTGCCAATAAATATTCAGTCCACTAAACACAACACCTGATAAAAGATAAGAATCAGTGGCCACAATACCTGACATCATCATCATTATTATATTCATCATCATCATCATCTGCCTTAAATTACTAATTTCAAACACCCACCTTCAGGCATCCTCTTCATTAAAATTCAACAAATCACTGTAATTTTGGTGTTATATTTTCCTTTATTCTTATAGTTTATTGATCTGATGATGGTTATGTTATTGTTCCATTTTGAGAAGTTCCTCTGCTCTGTGCCACCCCTGGTGACCCCTCACTGACCTGTGCCACCCCCTGCTGAGCTCTCACTGACCTGTGCCACCCCCTGCTGAGCTCTCACTGACCTGTGCCACCCCTGGTGACCCCTCACTGACCTGTGCCACCCCCTGCTGAGCTCTCACTGACCTGTGCCACCCCCTGATGAGCTCTCACTGACCTGTGCCACCCCTGGTGACCCCTCACTGACCTGTGCCACCCCCTGCTGAGCTCTCACTGACCTGTGCCACCCCCTGCTGAGCTCTCACTGACCTGTGCCACCCCCTGGTGACCCCTCACTGACCTGTGCCACCCCCTGCTGAGCTCTCACTGACCTGTGCCACCCCCTGCTGAGCTCTCACTGACCTGTGCCACCCCCTGCTGAGCTCTCACTGACCTGTGCCACCCCCTGGTGACCCCCACTGACCTGTGCCACCCCCTGCTGAGCTCTCACTGACCTGTGCCACCCCCTGCTGAGCTCTCACTGACCTGTGCCACCCCCTGCTGAGCTCTCACTGACCTGTGCCACCCCTGGTGACCCCTCACTGACCTGTGCCACCCCCTGCTGAGCTCTCACTGACCTGTGCCACCCCTACTGAGCTCTCATTGACCTGTGCCACCCCCTGGTGACTTGTGCTAGCCCAGGCGACCAATTCCAGTTCTGATGACTTGTGCTGGTGCTGATGATTTGTGCTAGCCCTGGGTTACTGCCCACTAACTTGAGGTGACCTTGCTCCTACCTTTGGTGACCTCTTATATTTGATAATCTTACACTGACCTTGCATAACTTTCAAGTTACCTGTGGCGACCTTCCACTGATCTACTGTCCTGTGGTGACCTTCCACTGATCAACTTACCTGTGGTGACTTTCTACTAATCTACTGATTTAGTGATCTTTTATTGGCCCTTGGTGGCCACATATGTGACCTACTCACATGTGTGATCTCTCTTTAAACTGTAGTTACCTCTCACTAATCAGTAGTGATCCATCACTTACCTGTGCCAGCTTCTCGTATTCTAAATGTGTTTTGATGGCGTGACCTGCTTCCTCCAGGTCAGGGATGACCTCAGGAAGGTGATGCCTAAACATGGCTTCTCTGGCCTCCATCCCTGGAAGTGGCACCAGGATTCTCTTCTCTAAACGGCGCAGCATTGCCGGATCAAGCTGCCTGATGGGGAAGGGTAATAGTAACAACAGTCATTTCATTGTTTTGTGTTGGACTGGAGAAAATTGAATAAGAGAAAAGGCTTATTTTCTCCAATACAGAAACGGCGGAATGTGTGAAGAGGTAATTCAAGGTGTTCAGTCCCTCAACCCTTGAATTCATGAAAAGTAAGGGACTGATCACTTCAAATTATCCCTTCACGTCTTCCACTGTCTTAAGAAATATTCTCTGAATTGGACTGATAAGCCACTGGTTGGCGAAACGTCACCACAATAAAGATTACCAAGTCTTGTTTATCTCCCCCTCTCCATAAATTTACTGAAGTGACCATACAATACCCAGCAAGTGTCTTTACTGACACTCCTTTCACTAAATCTATTCTTACTCTTTCCCATTTTCCAAACTCAGCCCTCACAAAGGTCTTTTCTTTACAGTAAAGCTAAATTAGTTTATATTTTTGTATCGTTTTACTAGGATATGGACTTGAAAAGTGATCCCCAGACGCCTGTAACCACAGGCAAGATTATAGCCATTCAACTAGTCAATGTAAGGCTGACCAGGGTATGTTAGAGGCTGCAAGGAGGAACACGTGATGGTTGGCCTGTGTGAGGCCATCCAACTCCACCAGCAGTTGTGTTTTCATCCTACGGGAGGCCTCGTGTTCCTGCTCTCCCTGGCGGGAGGCCATTAGCGCGTCCACTTCGTCCACGAAGATGGTGGAGGGGGCGTGGTACCTGGCCATCTCGAACAGCACCTGTATGGGATGAAGTGGTGCTACTGAAAAACAGGGGATGCGATTACCGTCGTACAGAGGACTGAGTTTCCACAACGCCTTGCGGAAGATAAAAGGATCAGTGACCATAGAATGTGGTAATGGAGGTGGGAAGGAAGATGAGCTAAGGGTATTAAAACTGAGCGAGGAAAAGGAGGAGAAAAACAAAAGAATAGTGGTCTAACAGCTTTAATTTCCACGTTAGTATGTATGTCTATAGAACAAAAGAGATTAGCAAGTGATGTTGTATGAGATGTTCCACTGCTTTTAAATAGAAATGGAAATGATAAACATTAAAACGTACGTGATAAACATGTGTATGTGGCTGGGTGCAGATTCGTTTTTTCCTTTGCACAATTTCATGAGTATGCAGGGTGGTGAAGTTTTATGATAGTAAGTGTTTAGCGCTTGGTTATTATTATAATAATTATATAATTATGATATTAAGTAGCAGCACAGGAGGCATAGTGACACTCAGCTGAAGACCAGTCTGGAGCTATCACATGAGGCAAGTCAGTTCTTCTGCCATTAATACGAATGTAACAGTAATGTCAACAAGGACTTGACACGAGTGTCATGTGTAGGGTTTGTGATAGTGTCTGATTAGATAGTAACTCCCCTACTATGGTGGAACGAGTTAAAGTTACCAAAGGGGTTCAGTTTGGGAGAGGCATAGTAATGGAGATGAACACTGCAGCGGTGGATTTCCTATTTATGCATAAAGATGAGTTCAGGTGGCCCCTAAATGTAATGTTCTTCCAAGATAATGCGTTGCGTAATAAGGAATTCCATTTATCTTGAAGCGAATGGAAACTGGATAATCTTGTAATGGTGATCCTGTAATGATGATCTCAATAGTGGCCTCACCCTAAAATTCCGTTATAACACTAATTACATTACATTTTAGTACCATTTCTCAATTTGCTGAGAGGATCCCCTTATCGAGGTAAGTTAAAAAGAAGACTAGGGTGTTTATTGTTTATGTCTGTAGACGTTTACAGAGATATAATGGCAAACATTCATGAAAGTAGACAAAAAAGAATAGAAAAAGACAAAAAGGTAAAGACGGTCAGGTGGGTAGGCAGAGACGCATGTAAAAAGTCATACAGATAAAAATGACAGGGCAGAAATCTAGCTAAAATGACAGCCATGTAGATAATTATAATATATATATATATATATTATATATATATATATATATATATATATATATATATATATATATATATATATATATATATATATATATATATAATATTATAAATATAGGGAAGTACCACCTCTATAGCTGGAATGGGGACCCTCATCCTCAGAGAAGACAATAAACGTACCTCAGGGAATACTCAAGGTTCTCCCCGGAGCTGTTTAAATATTTTCTTCTCCTACCACCCCCTATATATTTTTTATTCTATGTGAACATTTATTAACATTTATTATATATATAAATATATATAATATATATATATATATATATATATATATATATATATATATATATATATATATATATAAATATATAATATATATATATATATATATATATATATATATATATATATATATATATATATATATATATATATATATATTATCACACTGGCCGATTCCCACCAAGGCAGGGTGGCCCGAAAAAGAAAAACTTTCACCATCATTCACTCCATCACTGTCTTGCCAGAAGGGTGCTTTACACTACAGTTTTTAAAGTGCCGAATAGGCAGAACTTGCGATCTTGGCTTAAATAGCAACGCTCATCTTGCCATATAGGACAAGTGAAAATTTGTGTATGCAATAATTTCGCCAATCATTCTGAACCTAATGAAAAAAATATATTTCACTGCGTTTGTTTAGTATTAAATTATAGTATGCAAATCTAAAATATATATAGTTAGGTTAGGCTAAAATAAATTGTTCTTGTTATAATAAGGTTAGGTAAGTTTTCTAAGATTCTTTTGGTGCAAAATTAAACATTTTTACATTAACATTAATGAAAAAAAATATATCTTTAAACGTATAAGAGAAAATTTTAGAAAGGACTTAATTTTAAATGAGTTCTTGCTAATTGACCAGTTTTACATATTCGGCACGACAATATATATATATATATATATATATATATATATATATATATATATATATATATATATATATATATATATATATATATATATATAGAGAGAGAGAGAGAGAGAGAGAGAGAGAGAGAGAGGTAAACATTCAGGAAGACTGACAGGAAGCGGCACAATCAGTGACGTACAACAAACTGTCGTAAGTCTATTTCTTACAGTTTTCAGAAGATTTTTTTATTTACTTAAATTAGGTTATTTTATATTTGATTACGTTACACTGTTGTCTTCAGAAAATAAACAATTTTTCTTATTTTAATTAGCAAGATGGGCTGAGTACAATTGCCTCTCAGTGTACGTTCACTTGGGAGTTATTTTTATTTATTAAGGGAGTAAAGTATTCTTGGCTGGTGAACAGGTTACATGCAGCTATATCCTTCGTGTAGTCGATAGGCTTTAAAACTCATTAACCAACAAATCCAAGTAGAATGATCCCAAACAGTGAGCATCAACAGATCCAAAAGTAAAAAAAAAAAACGACTCTAGCTTTCCTCACCCTAACAAGTTTCTCTGAGTCTCCTCTCCACTTGGAGACGAGAGTTGTGGCCGAGATGTTGAAGAAGGTGGTCCGGCACTCCGTCGCCACCGCCTTCGCCAGCAGAGTCTTACCTGTAAGAAAACACCCTCGGTTAATTTAATATTAAATAACATTCTGCAGGTATATAAAAGAGCCTGTTAACCAACAAGAGGATGACAAACAAAACCTTATTATAACAATCTTAACATGAAGTTTCGCCCAGGAAGATCCTCTTACTGTTTACATAACATGCAATGCAGAACAACCACTATGAAAACAACAGTGAACTTCCAAGCACTTTTCGTGATTTCTCACATGTGAGAAATCACAAAAAGCGCTTGAAAGTTCACTATTCTTTTCACAGTGGTTGTTCTACATATTGTGATATCACCTATTTACTGTGATCTTATTGAACAACACTGAGAGCTGGATTTCTAAACAAATTCCCACACATAGAAGAATGAAAGATATGACGATTTGTAACTAGTTAATTGTCCAAGTCGGACCATTCTCTTGTGTGCATTAATTAAACTGACTCGATAAACAGTCTTCTCTAAAATTAACATCCTGAAATTAAATGTGCATAAATTAAAATATAGATATGGCAAGGAATTTTAAAAACTCTGAAGGCTTCTAGGAGTTAATTAGAAATGAAAATAGGATTTTCTTGGTCCTGCAACATTAGACTTTTTTCCTTGTTGAACAATGAGTGGCAATTCATTTATACATTTATTATTTCAGAAATGTAGAAAGTTGTGAGTGATGTTCCAGCAGGGAGATGCCTCCACACACTCCATCAAATATTATAATATTTTTAATTAAATTTTTCTAGAGCGATTTGTGAGGAAAAATTTTCAAAATTAATTAATTTTGAGTTGCCAGTAACCCCTTCCCTTCCTTTACCACCCCCTTTGCTCCCCTGTTTCATCCTCTGCTCCCCGTATACATCCTCTGCTCCCATTTTTCATCTTCTGTTCTTCATTTTCACCTGCTTCCTACCTCTGTCATCTTCTGCTTCCCACTTTCTTTTCATATCTCCTCTCATTTCTTCTAGTTTAGCCTCCTATCTTTCCTTTCCTCGTGTTAGGTGACTAATATGGGTCGCATCCAGGAAAAACTGTATTACAAAATTCCAATCCTGCTGAAATTCCTTATTCTATGTAAGAAAACACTCCAGTAGCGTGCACAAATACACTCCAGTATCGTGTAAGAAAACACTCCAGTACCCTGTAATAAAACACTCCAGTACTGTGTAAGACAGCCCCAGTATCTGTTGGAAGTAGAGTTGTGTAATTGGTATTCGTGTACCTAATATTATATTTAAGGGAAAAATTGCTCACCGGTGCCAGGAGGACCGTAGAGGAGGATGCCTCGCCAGGGCTTGAATCTCCCGACGAAGAGCTGAGGATACTTGAGAGGATACACCACCGCCTCCTTGACCAGTCTCTTGGCGTCATCCAGGCCAAGGATGTCCTCCCATTTGACCTCGGGATTGTCGATTAGGATCTCCTGTAGGGAAGAGGTAGTGTAGGATGAATGGAGGGATGAATGGAGGAAGGAAATGTTGAGAGGTGAGATGATGGAAGATTGAAGAAGGTTGTGGCATGCAAAGAGTACGTAACCTTTATTCGGCGCATGTACACACCCTCATTTACAGGCTATCTCCCCCAACCAGCGAACCAGGTGACTGAGGGTTGACGATGGGGCCCCGTCGTTCAACCAGTAACCAGGTTCCAGCCAATAAGAAGATGGTTTTGGCAATCGCAGAGGTTATGTGGGTACCACTCTCCTGTCTGCCCTTGTCATTCCCATTCTAGAGCTGATTGAAGCACGGTCTGCTCTCTAGTGGCTTCTATTCTGCCTTGCTTACCGTGGAGTGCACTAATACCTATCGCTGTACATAGTGTATATAGTGTACATACTTCTGTTCAAAAGTTTTCTGCTGTGCTTATTTTGCTCCCTTTACACCCAGGATAACAGGCCATTTGGACTCCTGGGTTGTAATAAAGGTAATGAGACGAAATAGAAGAAACGGAGGTGGTGGTGAGAGATGGGATTGATGGAGTAATGGAAGGAGGAAGGGTGGTGAGAAGTGAGTTGGAAGAAGACAGGGAGCATGGCGACGGAATAGCATGGCAGTGAGGGGAAAAAATGGAGAAACACAGAGAAAGTCTTGAGTAATTGAAAGAGAGAGAGAGAGAGAGAGAGAGAGAGAGAGAGACAGACAGACAGACAGACAGACATACTGAAAACTTCTGTAAAAAACTGATTTACAAATGAAAATACAATAAAATAATAAGCTGATAAAATATTCTCGGAAGTATACGGGGTTCCTTGCATAGGTTGTGATGCAGTTTATATAGGACAAATTGGGTAAAGTTTCAAGTCCAGATTAAAGCATAACTAAAGAATAAGATCCTAGTGTTTTGTTTATTCATCTTAGGAACACAGGTAATTGTGTAGATTAAACTCGTGACTAAAAATTTCTTCCTTACTATTGTACTGTTCAGTATAATATTGAGTATCTTTTTCCTACTAAGCACAATGCACAAATCGCAGAACGGGTGGGACTCAAACCCAAGGTAAGCGAATCCTAAGACTAGCAGGACAGTGTGTTATTCTCTGGACCTTACCGGTCTAATAAGATTCATTCAACTAGATATATTTCTATACAGTATAGTGTGACTATAAATGTAGGTTGTTAACAGACGCATTTCACACCAGCATAACCGTGCCTTCCAACATTGTGTCATTTCGATTATGTAGAAGGCTTTGAGGGGATATGAGTTAGAGCACGCCATAGCCATACTGCAGTTACACTGGAGCCCATGCCAGCCTCCCTATGTTGCAGAGACATATACCTAGCTGGATGAATTGTATTAGGCCGGTATGGTCCAGTGGATAACATACTAGCCATGTAAGTTTTAGCACCAGCTTGTCAAGGGTTCCAGAACCACCCTGTCTATGATTTGTTTACTTTCATTTATTTATTTTCAGTTCTGGCATCTATAATCTAGGAAATTTTCTGCTGAAAATATTTCATGATTTTAAATCAGAGAGCATTTATCATATGAAGTTTTTGTTTTTGTTTTTCTACAAATGAAATGTAAAAGAATTTACATCACACTAGCACTACCTACCCTCTGTATGATGTTGGCCAAGTCTCTGAACTCTCCGGTGAAGTGTGGCATCAGTAAGGGCTTCACGCTCTTCTCGTCCCATAGGTCACTTGTCTCATCCTCATCTCCTGTAGAAAGGCCATCTCTCAGCTCATGGTACTCCACTCTCGCCTCATAATATTCCAATCTCACTTCATAGTGCTTCACTCTCGTCTCATAGTACTCCACTCTTGCTTTATATTACTCCACTCTAAGATAACGGGACACCATTCTAATTTACGTAACGCGTCTCTCAGCTCAAGGGACACCAGATATAAGCACCTGTTTTTGTCTTCAGCGAGGACAGGTGTTGAATGAGCACACATGTACAATAGGTGGATATTAATTGAAAACAGGCATGCCTATTCCGAGGACAAGTATGTACAGAGATGAGTACACATGTGTGTAAGGATTTCAGACAGGTGTGTGTATGAGAAATCAGTAGAGGCCTGTGAGGAGTTTGGGCAGGTATTGGTAGTTAATAAAAGTAACTCACCTGGGGGTTGGTCAGGATGTGATAGCGATCGATTGGGACCCTTGCCTACGTCACCAATGTTATCCTCCAGGCGAGTGTAATCACTGATCATCTGCTTCAGATCCAGCACCTGCCGTGGCTGCAGGTGGGGAAGTACGAGTCATAACAAACGGAACCAGACACAAAACGGGTAGAACTAGACACAAAATACTAAAGTCTAGACTCACACAACGGGGTAATTACTAAGAGGGTACTCTTGCCCAAATGGGGGTAGTCTTACCCAAGTGGGGATAGTCTGCCACAAAACAGTACTCACAGTTAAGAGGATGCAAAGAATATTAATCGCTCTTAATAGAATCGCACATAACTTTTTAAATTTGCATCTGAGGCAATATATCATGGTAGTTGCATTTATGTTATCTTAGGAAACAGGCTATTATTTTTTAACTTATCAAGATACATAGGTCTAGAGTTTCATGTTTATTTTATTTTTTTTTATTATCACACCGGCCGATTCCCACCAAGGCAGGGTGGCCCGAAAAAGAAAAACTTTCACCATCATTCACTCCATCACTGTCTTGCCAGAAGGGTGCTTTACACTACAGTTTTTAAACTGCAACATTAACACCCCTCCTTCAGAGTGCAGGCACTGTACTTCCCATCTCCAGGACTCAAGTCCGGCCTGCCGGTTTCCCTGAATCCCTTCATAAATGTTACTTTGCTCACACTCCAACAGCACGTCAAGTATTAAAAACCATTTGTCTCCATTCACTCCTATCAAACACGCTCACGCATGCCTGCTGGAAGTCCAAGCCCCTCGCACACAAAACCTCCTTTACCCCCTCCCTCCAACCCTTCCTAGGCCGACCCCTACCCCGCCTTCCTTCCACTACAGACTGATACACTCTTGAAGTCATTCTGTTTCGCTCCATTCTCTCTACATGTCCGAACCACCTCAACAACCCTTCCTCAGCCCTCTGGACAACAGTTTTGGTAATCCCGCACCTCCTCCTAACTTCCAAACTACGAATTCTCTGCATTATATTCACACCACACATTGCCCTCAGACATGACATCTCCACTGCCTCCAGCCTTCTTCTCGCTGCAACATTCATCACCCACGCTTCACACCCATATAAGAGCGTTGGTAAAACTATACTCTCATACATTCCCCTCTTTGCCTCCAAGGACAAAGTTCTTTGTCTCCACAGACTCCTAAGTGCACCACTCACTCTTTTTCCCTTATCAATTCTATGATTCACCTCATCTTTCATAGACCCATCCGCTGACACGTCCACTCCCAAATATCTGAATACGTTCACCTCCTCCATACTCTCTCCCTCCAATCTGATATTCAATCTTTCATCACCTAATCTTTTTGTTATCCTCATAACCTTACTCTTTCCTGTATTCACCTTTAATTTTCTTCTTTTGCACACCCTACCAAATTCATCCACCAATCTCTGCAACTTCTCTTCAGAATCTCCCAAGAGCACAGTGTCATCAGCAAAGAGCAGCTGTGACAACTCCCACTTTGTGTGTGATTCTTTATCTTTTAACTCCACGCCTCTTGCCAAGACCCTCGCATTTACTTCTCTTACAACCCCATCTATAAATATATTAAACAACCACGGTGACATCACACATCCTTGTCTAAGGCCTACTTTTACTGGGAAAAAATTTCCCTCTTTCCTACATACTCTAACTTGAGCCTCACTATCCTCGTAAAAACTCTTCACTGCTTTCAGTAACCTACCTCCTACACCATACACTTGCAACATCTGCCACATTGCCCCCCTATCCACCCTGTCATACGCCTTTTCCAAATCCATAAATGCCACAAAGACCTCTTTAGCCTTATCTAAATACTGTTCACTTATATGTTTCACTGTAAACACCTGGTCCACACACCCCCTACCTTTCCTAAAGCCTCCTTGTTCATCTGCTATCCTATTCTCCGTCTTACTCTTAATTCTTTCAATTATAACTCTACCATACACTTTACCAGGTACACTCAACAGACTTATCCCCCTATAATTTTTGCACTCTCTTTTATCCCCTTTGCCTTTATACAAAGGAACTATGCATGCTCTCTGCCAATCCCTAGGTACCTTACCCTCTTCCATACATTTATTAAATAATTGCACCAACCACTCCAAAACTATATCCCCACCTGCTTTTAACATTTCTATCTTTATCCCATCAATCCCGGCTGCCTTACCCCCTTTCATTTTACCTACTGCCTCACGAACTTCCCCCACACTCACAACTGGCTCTTCCTCACTCCTACAAGATGTTATTCCTCCTTGCCCTATACACGAAATCACAGCTTCCCTATCTTCATCAACATTTAACAATTCCTCAAAATATTCCTTCCATCTTCCCAATACCTCTAACTCTCCATTTAATAACTCTCCTCTCCTATTTTTAACTGACAAATCCATTTGTTCTCTAGGCTTTCTTAACTTGTTAATCTCACTCCAAAACTTTTTCTTATTTTCAACAAAATTTGTTGATAACATCTCACCCACTCTCTCATTTGCTCTCTTTTTACATTGCTTCACCACTCTCTTAACTTCTCTCTTTTTCTCCATATACTCTTCCCTCCTTGCATCACTTCTACTTTGTAAAAACTTCTCATATGCTAACTTTTTCTCCCTTACTACTCTCTTTACATCATCATTCCACCAATCGCTCCTCTTCCCTCCTGCACCCACTTTCCTGTAACCACAAACTTCTGCTGAACACTCTAACACTACATTTTTAAACCTACCCCATACCTCTTCGACCCCATTGCCTATGCTCTCATTAGCCCATCTATCCTCCAATAGCTGTTTATATCTTACCCTAACTGCCTCCTCTTTTAGTTTATAAACCTTCACCTCTCTCTTCCCTGATGCTTCTATTCTCCTTGTATCCCATCTACCTTTTACTCTCAGTGTAGCTACAACTAGAAAGTGATCTGATATATCTGTGGCCCCTCTATAAACATGTACATCCTGAAGTCTACTCAACAGTCTTTTATCTACCAATACATAATCCAACAAACTACTGTCATTTCGCCCTACATCATATCGTGTATACTTATTTATCCTCTTTTTCTTAAAATATGTATTACCTATAACTAAACCCCTTTCTATACAAAGTTCAATCAAAGGGCTCCCATTATCATTTACACCTGGCACCCCAAACTTACCTACCACACCCTCTCTAAAAGTTTCTCCTACTTTAGCATTCAAGTCCCCTACCACAATTACTCTCTCACTTGGTTCAAAGGCTCCTATACATTCACTTAACATCTCCCAAAATCTCTCTCTCTCCTCTGCATTCCTCATTCATGTTTAGTATCATCATTATAAAGTCAGGTTAATAAGTAAGATATCTGATTTTTTCTTCTTTTCATATAACCGAACAACCTCTCTTGAATCTTCCTCACTTGAAAGTTCAAGTTTGCTCTGTATCTTGCTCTAGTTTTTTCTTCTTTCTTTGCCCTCTTTATACCAATTATCCCGTATTTTCATTTACATTGTCCTATTTTATTCTTTTTCCCTTCTCGCGATTTTTATCTGTCTATTTAGATTCATTATACCTCTGTCTCTGTATACATCCATCATACCTCTATCCCTATTTAGATTAATCATACCTCTATCCTTATTCAGATCCATCAGACCTCTATCTTAATTTTGATTCATCATATCTCTTTCTCTATTTTGATTCTACGTACCTCTTTCACTATTTTGATTCATCATACCTCTATCTCTGTTTTGATTCATCATACCTCTATATTTAGATACATCATACCTCTACCCCTATTTAGATCCATCATATCTCTATCCCTATTTAGATCCATCATACCTCTATCCCTATTTAGATCCATCATACCTCTATCCCTATTTAGATCCATCATACCTCTATCCCTATTTAGATCCATCATACCTCTATCCCTATTCAGATTCTTCGTTCCTTTGTATTTAGTCAGATCCATTATTCGTTACTTAACTAGACTATTGTTATTTTTTTCTTCTATATTTTCCACTTCGTCTCTTCTTTAATGACCCCTTTCCCCTTTATATCTTTCAACAGTTACACACCACAGTCCTTGTTCCCTCTGGATTTAACATTATTACAAATTAACAGAGATTAATCTACAGTACCTCTATTCCGAAATTACCAGTATTTAGAACTCACCGGTGTGATGAACTTTCCTGTATTCAGAACTAATGGTCATTCAAAACTTACCGGTGTTCCGGACTTACCGCTACTCCAAACTTGCTATCATTCCGAACTTACCATCCTACCGGTCTTGACGGGTCGGAGGGTGGCGGCCGCTCCTCCTCTCTCACTGTCGGTGTCCGAAGATGATTTAGTGGGGTCCTTTTTCTCCTCCCCTGGGCTTCGCAGGGGCCCTGCTCCTCCAGAAACGCGTCGCCCCACCAGCGGGCCCCTGAGGGCACATACGACATTCAGGGGTACATGAGTGAAAGTATAAGATTAGAGCATATGGACCAGTGGTGATTACAGTACGTGACCTAGTGGAGAATAGAACACGGTGTGTGGTGAGTGAAGATCAAGGGACAGTGGTAGTTAAAGGCCAGTGGACTCTGTGGTGGTAAAACTGCAGCTGTCAGTGGTAATGGCAGGGGGAAGGCCACTACCACTGACAGCTGCAGGATAGTCCCGTTAGGGTAGGATCCTTGATGATATAAACAGCAAGGATTCCGTTCGGTAAGAGAATTTACCATCAAACTCTTCAATATACCTACAGCGAAAATATTTGCGATGTCTACTATTTTCTAATGTGAGCTATTACAATAATTTCATTAGTATTGTTAGAGAATTCATTCTTTTATGTATGTATATATATATATATATATATATATATATATATATATATGTCGTGCCGAATAGGCAGAACTTGCTATCTTGGCTTAAATAGCAACGCTCATCTTGCCATATAGGACAAGTGAAAATTTGTGTATGCAATAATTTCGTCAAAATCATTCTGAACCTAACGAAAAAAATATATTTCACTGTGTTTGTTTAGTATTAAATTATTGTAAACAAATCTAAAATATATTTAGTTGGGTTAGGCTAAAATAAATTGCTCTTGTTATAATAAGGTTAGGTAAGTTTTCTAAGTTCCTTTTGGTGCAAAATTATAAATTTTTACATCAACATTAATGAAAAAAATATATCTTTAAACGTATAAGAGAAAATTTTAGAAATGACTTAATTTTAAATGAGTTCTTGCTAATTGACCAGTTTTACATATTCGGCACGACATATATATATATATATATATATATATATATTATATATATATATAATATATATATATTATATATATATATATATATATATATATAATACATTATTATTATTTATTATTATTATTATTATTATTAAAGATTCGCCGGTAGTCTCCCGGCCCGGGCCTTTTCCAGGTGGTGGCCCGGCCACTATATAATACAAACCTGACAAGTTCCTCTCTCTTCCGGTTGTCGATAACTTTATTTCTGACAGAGTTACGGGATCGTGCGTGACCTCTGACCTCTCCTGCACTGGAGACGTCATCACTGAGACTTGGGTCACTGGCAGCGCGACCCATACTGCCCCCAGACCCTCCATGACGGGGAAGTGAGCGTCTCCTGTAGAGAGAGATGAAAGACGAAATACTGAGATATCAGGGAGAATATTAATGAGGTATGAGGCAGAATAATTTTCATTTTTAAGGAATACTGTATAATATATATATATATATAATATATATATATATATATATATATATATATATATATATATATATATATATATATATATATATATATATTTTATATATATACAGGACAAGCCACGGGGGGGGAAATCTTTAGCTCAAGTACTTTCACACTTCTCAGTGCGTCATCAGGAGCTGTGCAATGTTGCAAGGGAGCAACCAAAGCAGGGAGGTCCCAGAGTAGCGTAGCTGTCACTGGCCACGGTTACCCTTAGACTGGGTTAGTAGTCGGTGCCAACCCCACCCTACCATCATCCTCCCACTACCCATATGGGGTAGGAGGGTTTCTGAGATGTCAAGTAGGAAATTATAAGATATAAAAAACCAGCCCCAAGCTTTTCCTAATCGTTTATAACAGGTCAATAAAGATACCCAAGAGTTGCACATGTGTCTAATTTATCATATATATATATATATATATATATATATATATATATATATATATATATATATATATATATATATATATATATATATATATATATATATATATATATATATATATATATTATTTCTGACACCTGACTGGACGACTTGCCTGAAGAATGGGCTCTTCTTCCCCGGTGGCGTGTCGTTTCTGCTGTTGTTGGCTTCCTCCTGAAGGTGACCACAACGGTGAGGCTTCGGCGTCGGCCTGGGCATCAACGACCTCTTCGCCAGTTTTGGGTACTTCTGGTACTGAACAACGAAAATTAATTTGAATACAACACTGAACTCATGGGCTGAACTGTTAACCCACATCCTGTTCATTTCGGAGCTCAGCCTTCTCTAAAGTATACACCCTTGGATGTCACTCACAATCGTCAACTAACACACAGGTACGTAGTTACTGCAAGGTAAACAGGATCAACAGTTGTAGGGGAAACATGACATTTGGCTCTACCTGCCACAAGGGTAAACTCTTGCCCTGCTGTTGTGAGAGGAAGGCTCTACCGCTAAGCTACGAGTTTCTTTTCATAATTTTTGACTGTGGTAGGAAGAAGTTAGGAAAAGAGATTATTGTTGTGTGATGGGAAAGCAAGAGAAAAGAGAGTTGGTGGTGATGATGAAAATGTAGGAAGATAAGGATGGTGGCTGTGGGTGTAGTGATGGTAAAGGCGGAATGGTAAACGGAATGATGATGGGCTTGATTAGTAATTGTCTTAGCTAGAGTGTTGCTTATGGCACTACGATTTTACCGTCGAAGCGGCAAGTTTTTGGTGCACTCCCGAATACAAAAACATATGGATACACCAAAGGATTAGCAGAATACTTATGTATATATTTACAATTCATATTTAATGTGATAAAAGAGTTTAGGACATTTACTTAAAATGCCCGGTATCTTACGCTCTTTACTGCAAAATGTTTTGCCTGCACAACAATCTTCTTCAGACTAGTACAAACAAATATAATGCTGAAGAGATTACAAGACGTAGATTTGACTTGATCAGTCCGTCAGATTTTGTATGTGGTCATTCCCTCAAGTGTTAGCTGGTAGGTTGTTTACAGTAATAAAGTCTGATTTATCCACTCTCTGTGGTCCTGCGCTGTGCTGGACATGAGTATGATCTGTCTTCATATTAGGGGATAAGGAAGTAAAGAATTTGCCTACATTAGCTTCCAAAAAATATATCTACCTTTACGTTTTGTACTTTAAGACTATTGAATAGGAAAAGAAAACTAACAGTAACTATGTACAATACTGTTTAATAAACGAAAGTTTGAGCCTAGCCACCTTAGGTTCTCTCAAAGCTCTTCAGACGAGTTACGCAGACTCACCTTGGCAACAAACCATTCCTCATGCTCTTGCAGAATACCAGAGAGGTCAACACTATCACACACGGAGAACTGTTCAGTGTTCAGTCGAGCCTCCTGCACCAGGGTCTTGGCAGCATCACTGTACCTGAAGATAACCCGGGGATATAAAGATACAATCTCCGTCAGGAAAAACAGCAGGAACAGCAGCCACCATCATTTTGTATTCAGGGAAGGTTCTCGCCCTAAACGGGGTGCTTCATGAGAATGGTCGCCACATTGTGAGGTAAAGAGGAAACGCTTTCGTAGCTCAAGCTGAGAATCAGTAAACACTTTTGCAACAACGAGAGAGAAAAATGCGGATAAATTTTTTCTTCAACTGGGAATGCTAAAAATATTGTCGTTGAATTGTTTATTATTTTAACCTACAATGTTCATGACCAGGAAACTTAATCTTAGTCGACAGGGCGGTTACACATTCTTGCGTCACTATAATACTTTAAAGTCTGATGAAAATCAGTCATATTCGCTGCAAAGTCGAACTCATAATTTGCTGAAAAATATATAAAGATCCATTTACATGTATCAGTATCAAAGTCGCTGCTCCAATAAAAAGTCTTTTGTTTTTAAGTGTTTAATTGAACTTGGATTTGGTTTTGGTATATTATAATCAATGACCCAGTGTAAAATCACACAGGCAAACATTTTTCGGCAATCTTCCCATTATTGTACGACACTCGCGGTATGTATGTCACATCGTACCGCGAGTACAACGTAAGATAATCATATATAATGCAGTTCATCCCGAAATAATTCAAAAAAATATATATATTCATTGACTCCCTGTATTCACAGTTTTACGATCTGTTTAAAACGAACTAACAGGTCGCAGACATCCTGAGAAGAAATGAGATGGAACCAAAAATATGTTTGGTAATGTCTATATTTACCGGCGCATTGCTGGAAGTCACAACGCAAGAATTTCCTTTCATTCCTTCTCTTTTCGTTTCCCGGTTCTTCTGTTTGCTCTTTTCGCGTTTATCTTTCTTATAACTTTGCGTTTTGACGTTTATCTTTCCTGGTTCCTTACAATAGCTCTGTGTTAGTCTTTTCTTTCAATAACGAGATGAAACAGCTCAACGAGGTTACTGCGTTCAAATTTACACGTGTGATGGGTGATACCACGCATACTAGCTCTTGTTAAGATGTCGTGTTTACTACCTTACAACGACAAGATTACATGCAAAAATGCTAATTACCATCCTCAACAGGCTCCAGAAATAATACTATAAAAAGACAGATATATAAATATATAAAATAAAATCAATCTTTATAGATCTTCGTGTTATATATATATATATGTCGTGCCAAATAGGTAAAACTGGTCAATTAGTAAGAACTCATTTAAAATTATGTCCTTTCTAAAATTTTCTCTTATACCTTTAAAGATAGATTTTTTTTTCATTTATGGTAATGTAAAAATTAATAATTTGGTACCAAAAGAACCTTCGAAAACTTACCTAGCCTTATTATAACAAGCGCAATTTAATTTAGCCTAATCCAACTAAATATATTTTAGATAATTTTACAATAATTTAATAATAAACAAACACAATGAAATATATTCTTTTTGTTTGGTTCAGAATGATTTTTGCAAAATTATTGCATACATAAATTTTCGCTTGCCTTATTCGGCAAGAAGAGCGTTGCTATTTAAGCCAGTTTTACCTATTCATCACATTTATATATATATATATATATATATATATATATATATATATATATATATATATATATATATATATATATATATATATATATATATATATATATATATATATTATATATATATATATATATATATATATATATATATATATACAGAAAACAACCATATGTTTGAAGAAACAGTCAAATAACGTGGTTGGAATATGTGACAGTCAAACCATACTTTCCAAAGTAGGGGTTATTTGGGTATATATACTCTGTAACCCTAAACTCGGACATACAGAAATCGGAATGTATCTGAGAAAGTGCAGCTCATAACATGGAACGTTACGACCCAAGTTTAATCCCTTGATGCGGTTGCTGCCTACCAGCTCAACCAGCACGCAACTTGTGCTTACATTTGCCACTGACACACACGAAGCCAAGAGCAATGGCGTGCAGACACATTCTCGTCGTTCAGGGTCATGGCAGGTGGTTAGTTTTGCAACCCAGACAGAAGGATTAACGGAGGAAGGAGGAATATCGAGCAGGAAATTCATGAAATATTTAAATTTTTATGACTGATCCTGTTTTTCTTTTGCTTAATTTGATGTAAATTTATATCTTAAAAGTATAAGTATATAGAGTTACTGGATATCTATTTTATATCTCCTGATGTGTACTTGAAAGTCAGATTGCATATTGCAGTTCCCTAAGCAACAGGATTTATTAAGATTGATGGATCATACCTGGTGGCACAATTATTAGGCAGAAGAGAGAGACATAGGTGTTAACTGATGATTGCTCATTAAAATTAGTTTAGTCATGATTTTAACTTTCAGTGTTAAATGGGCATTTCGTTTTATTTTTCTTTCTGCAGTGTATGTCGTTGTTTATTCCCTCATATAGATCGCTAATGCAGAGAACGAATTGCAGAGGCCGCAACAATAACACCCATGCAATGTAACTTGTGATTGACCGCATTGTGATTTTTCACCAAGTATATAAGGACTTTGTTGCTTGTTAGCCAACCACTTTCCTTAATTTTTCTATACGGCACTCCATGAAAAATATTATGGTAGTCAGAATAAGCACCATAACAAGTTATAGAAAAGCCAATCAATTTCTTAGGGAGAAACGACCCCATCGTTATGTTCAGAATGATTCTTGCGAAATTACTGGATACACAAATTTTTGCTTAGCTTATTCGGCAAGAAGAATGCTGCTATTTAAGCCAAGATCGCAAGTTTTACCTATCCGGTATAGTATATACAGTATATATATATATATATATATATATATATATATATATATATATATATATATATATATATATATATATATATATATATATATATATATATATTAGTGTAACTTTAATGTTCCTGGAAGTTATTTTTTGCGTATTGTGTCAAGTTACTGTGTTCTGGGATAACTAGCATGATCGCACGCCTGGTGGTAAATATATACCGCCTTTAATTATAGATGATTACAAGGAATTATACTTAGTTTTGAAGTTGTTGTTTTTTTCATTTCACAATATATATGTTTTTCTTGAGTGCCTTGAATTTTTGCATTGACTCTTCAGAAAATTATTTAGCCATATTATAAGTAAGTTTGCCTGACTTACGGCCTGCCCTTCTGATTGACTGAAAGACTCACTGACAAGATGAAAGACAGACTGACTGTAAGAGAAAGTGACAATAAGCTGACTGCAAGACTGACTTACTGTTATACTGACAGACTAACAGACAGAAACAGGCATAAGCTACCTGTTGACGTAAGTGAAACATATTCGTCGAGTACTAAACTAAGAGCAAATAATACCAAACACCTGAAGTTTGCAGTGAACATATGAACAATGTTCACTGTTAATCGCATATGCGCGAGCAAAGTGTTTACTGTCATACACGGCAAACATTTTGTAAGCAACTGGAGACTGCTCGTAAAAAACTTAAGAGCAAACGTGTGTGTATAGTTGCAGGGGTCGAGTCCAGCTCCTGGCCCCTTTTCTTCTCTGGTCGTTGGGTTTAGCGCTTGGTTTTTGATTATGATAATAATAATAGACTTTGCTGGTCGCTACAAGATCCACTCTCTCGGCTTCAACAGCCTCATTGTGTGTGTGTGTGTGTGTGTGTGTGTGTGTGTGTGTGTGTGTGTGTGTGTGTGTACTCACCTGTTTGAGGTTGCAGGGGTCGAGACTCAGCTCCTGGCCCCGTCTCTTCATCGGTCGCTACTAGGTCCTCTCTCTCCCTGCTCCATGAGCTTTATCATACCTCGTCTGTTTATGGTTCCTGCCTCCACTACATCACTTGCTAGACTATTCCACTTCCTGACAACTCTATGACTGAAGAAATATTTCCTAACATCCCTCTGACTCATCTGAGTCTTCAACTTCCAGTTGTGACCCCTTGTTTCTGTGTCCCCTCTCTGAAACATCTTGTGTGTGTGTGTGTGTATGTGTGTGTGTGTGTGTGTGTGTGTGTGTGTGTGTGTGTGTGTGTGTGTGTGTGTATGTGTATATGTATATAAAGGGGTACTTACCCCTCCTGGTCGAGGTAGTGGTGAACCAGGATGATGAGAGACTTGCGACGGATTTCTGCTCGTTTGTCAGCCTGAAATGAGAAGAAGAGGATGAGGTAAGGCAGAGACGTGAGGAAGAGGTGGAGTAACGGCGAGAAGAGAAGGGTAAAGGAATTAAGAAAAAGAAGGAATTAAAGGGGGGAGGGAAACGTGAGGAAGAGGATTAGGGCGTGGAGAAAAGTAAAGAGGAGGGGGTGAGGGAAGAGGTTGAGTGGGAAGAAGTGAGGAAGAGGTTGAGGGAGTGGGAAGAAGTACGGAAGGGATAAGAGAGGAAGAAGACAATACAGGAAGGAGGGTAGTAAGGGAAAGAAGGAGGAAGTAATGGGTGGGAAGAATAAACAGTTGTAGAAGATTAGATGGGACGTGAGGGATGGAGGGTGGAAAAGGAAATGAGTAAAATGAAAAATAAGGCAGGGAAGGAAGGTAAATTAAGTGAGTAAGGTGGAGGAGAAGATAAAAAAAACAAATCATTATTAACAATGTAATGAAAAAATTATATATATATATATATATATATATATATATATATATATATATATATATATAATTATATATATATATATATATATAAACACAGACTTAGAGGCCGTCTGTATGAGCTATTATTATATTTTATTATTATTATTATTATTATTATTATTATTATTATTATTATTATTATTATTATTGTTATTATTGTACATTATTATACGTTGTGTTGATAATAATCTGCGATAACACTTTCTACGTATAAGACATGGAGGAGTGTTTAGGAAGTGCTAAATATTTCAAATGATTACTGTGTGTGTGTGTGTGTGCTTGTGTGTGTATGTTTTTACCAAGTTGAATTCGGGTACCGAGTCTCACCTGCTGGCTCGGCCTCGTAATTATCAATTAACTGGAGTCTCTGGCCTCTTGAGCTCTCTCAAGCCCACGCCTGAAAATGTCTATGGTGTTCGCCTTCATCTCCTCCTCATCATCATCATTCAGGACATTTCACATTTTGAAACCGTAAGGTTGGTGAAGAGAGCGAAACGAGGTAAGAGATGCTGGAAGCCTACTTTATACACTGCACCAGGACTAGTTACGATCCCTCCCCATGGATTAGGATCCACCAACATTAAACTCATACAGTAACTACCCGAGGAGGAGCTTGAGAGCTGAAGTTCGTCTCCCGGGGGGCGTTGACCCCCGAAACACCCTTCAGGTATACTCCTGGTGTTCAAACACATAGACACTCTTCCTCTCCACTACAACTAACTACAGTCACATAGCCATCAACACTACTGAATGTCGCTTGTTACGCGAATGACGTGTGGAGAAAGTGAAAGAATCGTGTGTGAAACAGAAAAGGCTTGAAATACTCACGGGCGACACATGGAAAATGAGAAATATTCGCAGGGAGGAAACAGAAAAGGAGTCAAAATATTAGTACGTGAAACACGGACAGCGTGAAAATATTCACTAGTGGTAGTAGCTTGGGGCGTGTCAAGTCAGCTCTAGCATTATATGCTAGTGTAGATGACTGGTACTCATCTGAACGGGGAAGTGAGGGAGTGTAGCAACGTGGGCTTGTAGAGGTGAAATAGGGGTGGCAAAGTGGGGTGATGGTGGTGTGGGCTAGTGGTGGCGTGGGTGTGGGTGGGGGCTCGTATGAGCGTCTAATCGAACTGAATCGAGTGCCTGTGAGTGAGCGACGTGAGGGTTGTGCGCCTTCTTGCTTGACGGTGAGGAAAGAGAAATTGTTGTAGGTCACCTGCCCTCTTGAAGGTGTCAGATGGTCGTCGTGGGTCAGATAACTTTTTAAAGGTGCTATGGGCCGTCTTGGGTTAGATTCGTTCTTTAAGGTTTTAAGGTCTGTGGTTATTCACCTTCTTGTAGGTGTTGGGGTGAGTCGTTGGGGGTCATGTATCACCTTGAAGGTGTTAGGGTCGTCGAAGGTCAGGTATCATTTTTGAAGGCATCGTCGGAGGTGGTGAGGAGTTGGGTGCCTTGTGTGGGTAGATGGATCGTTCTCAATTGAATAATCAATTAAAAGGGAAACACACCTGACTCGCTGCAGGCTTCAAAGCAGGTAGCACGTGCCCTTCACCGTTAGCACGAACACCAGGGAGGCGCGCACGCCCACCAGCGCCCCCACCAACACCACTAGCGCCCACCACACCACTAGCGTCCCTGTCACCCACGCCACCACTTCCACCACCGCCACCAGGGTGCGGGCAGGGAGGAAGGGAAGGGAAGTTGCTGGAGGGAAATTTTCCCGTTTCTGAGGGCTGGAGGGATTATTATATTGGGATATTTAGTTTAATGTACCGACCACCCCCAGGAGAGAGGAAGGCTTGTTTTGTTATATTTTTAAATCATTCTGAAAGTGATAAATTTCTCCCTCTCTCTTTTTCACACACACGCACGCACACACACACACACACACACACACACACACACACACACACACACACACTCACACACACACACACACACACACACACACACACACACACACACACACACACATGCATACATCTTTCTCTCACACATACACTACTCACCAGCTCCTTGGCTTGGCTCGCTGCCCGTAAGGACTGCAGGGATAAGTGATTGGATGTCATCACGCATCTGAAAAGTCGAAAGGGCAATTATAATCAAATAAGAATTAAGACATTTGCACTGCACTAATTATAAATAAACTGGGCTTCATGGGTCTCTAAGCACGTTTCGAATATTATTTAATGTGCGAACTTCTACTCACGTTTCGCACATTAAATAAGACTATCCGTATACCAAAGGATTCTGACTTCATCGTCCATTTTCTCCTGTCGAGGCTTGTTTGGTTTTCTTAGATTTCTACGCAAATGTTTCCAACATTGTGGTGATTCTTCGTATTTACAGATGCAGTGGCAAACGTAGTTTACGGTATTTCAGACGATGCTACTGTAGATGAGGGGGAAGGGGAACGTAGCTCCTGTAGGCCAGCCGATGATAGATGCAGCGGCAAACGTAGTTACGGCAGTTTAGTCGATACTAGATGCGGTAGCGAGTGCAGCCCCTGTAGACCAACTGATGCTGGATGCAGTGGAAGTATTGCTCCAATAGAGCAGCCGATTCTTAACCAGAGTTATCACAGACACTCGCGTCAGGAGACACATCCCTCTCTCCTGACAAGCCAATACCACCATTAGCAGTTCCAAGTGCTATCTCTGGCAACTGGACCAGTTCAGGAACCGCTACGGGACAATGACACTCGGAATCTACAACTGTTATTCTTCAGAACAATCCATATGGGGATGGAAATCTTTTGCTCTGGATCTTTCACACTCCCGTGCGTCATCAGGAGCTATACAATCTTGCAAGGCTAACAACAGACAGGAGGGAAAATTCTCAGGGCTTCCACTGATACCTTCTGCCTTGCCTCGGAGAATTTCCCCTCCTGTCTGCTGCTGTCTTGAAACATTGCATAGCTTCTGACGACGCACGAGAGTACGAAAGATCCAGAGCTAAAGATTTCAATTCCATCTGGCTTGTTCTGCGTTGTTAAGATCGTCTGCGATTGATCTGGTATTCTGTTTACTACCTCTACTTATAAAATCTCAAATATAATTATTTTTATATTTACAAAATAATTGAAAAGCGAGAAACCACAATGACAGAAGCACAACGCAAGCGAAATATATCTAATACTTCGGCCTCAGGGAACCACTTTAAATCAGGTATGAAACAGCAGTCATGCGCTCGGACCTCAGTGAGAGACTTCAAACTCCGATTTCGGACTCTCGAATGTCTTGATGATACTCTTTTCTTTACTCGTGTAAAATATTAATTATATACCAAAGTGACAAATATATTAGATGATATGAAGCTTAGGGATGACTTTTTCATTTTAATATAACACTGAGGAGAAATAATAGATAACGTAAGATTTGATAGGTATTAAAGTCTGCTCCTTGTAGTTATGAAGGAGTGTGATCCTTGCACTAGGTGTCTTATCATAGTGTAAGGGGACACATTTATGCGTAACTGGTGAGATATTCATATACTGTAGTAAATTATCTCATAACAATAGAGTTATGTTCCCGAAAACTGTGTTTCACGTGAAATCCGTGTTAAGTGAAAAACTCATTAGAAAAATAGTTAAATTCCTTATTAGAACTCCAAGAAAGCCAAAGAAGTTTTTGAAAAGATAGGATAAAAAAACCTAAAGAAACAACTTTATACTATTATAAAAAAATTATGGTTTTATTGCATATTAATATGCATGTATGTGGAGAGGGTTAATATGATCCTGTACATTACGTTTAGATACTCGTCGCAGGTAGTATCCGCTACCATCACCACTATCGGCTACTATAACCACCATCAGCTACCATCACCACAATCGGCTACTATAACCACCATCAGCTACCATCACCACTATCGGCTACTATAACCACCATCAGCTACCATCACCACTATTGGCTACCATTACCACTATGAGCTTCCTCAGCATATCAACATCGGTACAAATAATCAACATTCTCTCATTAAATTTTATCAAACATATTGGAACTAGCCTCACTTATAATTTACTAACAATGAATGCATTTGGGAAAGCAATAACCAAAATGGTGATATCAGAAATGGTGTGGGAGGTGGTTGTTGTAGGTAATTAAGGGCTCCAGTGGGCTGAGCCGAATGAAACCTTGTTCCAGTAGAGTGGATGGCTATAAACTGTCTGTAAATACTGCAAGAATATGTAAATGACTGTTAAAGGCAAGAGAATGTATAAATACAGTGTAATTACTGGTTATTAGCCTTTACCTCTTTCTGCCTTCACTACACACCTCTAATATTTGGATTTTCTTGGAAACTGTCAGTCTCAACCTTAATTTTCTAATTGGGAGCACTTGAATTACTAGGATTGTTCTCATGTGTTTAGGTTAATATCCACTAACGAGATAGAGATAAAAAGGTCGAAAATCGATTGAATAACAAACAGCTAAGTACTGGATGCGTTGATAAAGCGACACTTGTGCAACATCTGGGAATCTTTATTCTGGAAACGTTTCGCCAGCCAGTGGCTTCTTCAGCCCAATACAAAGAAAGATGGAAGACGAGGAGGAGTTTGAGGTGTTCAGACCATCAATCTTGATAGATTGGACACATCGACTCCAGCAGACTCAGAGATTGATTACCTCAAACTCCTCCTCATCTTCCACCTTTCTCTACATCGGACTGAAGAAGCCACTAGTTGGCGAAATGTTTCCAGACTAATGATACACAAATGTTGCACAAGTGTCTCATTTATCAACTTGTCGGTTTTCTAAATAATTTACCCACAACACACTGGATGGGTACACACGACGGTGTGGGTACTCACTGACGGCACATGCTGAGACTAGGTCTCTCCCTGAAAACAATGGCTACACCTGTAGGCTCCCTGGGGGTACGCAACGAATATACTGTTTTCCACTGGGTGTTCTAACGGTAACTGGCGTGAAACGTGAGCTGAGGATTATTTTTTTCAACTTTACGGCATGCTACGGCGGGCAATGCTGGGTTTTCACGCATGCAACGTTATTAAGGAAAGTAAAATTTAATGTGTGTTTTATTCATAATGTTCTACGTGAACGCATGTTACGTGATAGTTTACAATATAATGATTGCTATACTTTGTCTGGTGCTGAAACTGTGTGGGTTATGCAACATATGGATTAGCAGAGGCTCGATCCTTCATCATCAAACTCCAAGAGACGTTACTTAACTATTTTTTCCTGGTTGTTCTTTGAGATATTGTTATTATTATTATTATTATTATTATTATTATTATTATTATTATTATTATTATTATTTTATTATTATTATTATTATTATTTATTATTATTCCTAAGAACTAAACCCGCAATGGTCATGAGGCGCCTGGATAATGGGAGGTAATTAGAGTTGAGTCAAGGTACGAAAGAGTAGCTGAAATTCCTTAACTCAAGAACTGTTCAACATGAAGGTCCTTCACTAAAGGATCTCGGAGAAAGAAGCGCCTGCAACACGCAACCTTTGTTCTGAGTCGTTAAAGACAACAACAACAAAAAGTATTACTGACACGATTCTGAGATTTATACTATGAGTCTGCGTCCACTAACAACTTTATTTGACCTATTTAGTGTTTCTTCTTAACAGGTTAACAGAGTGGTTCTCGTTATAAGGTTAGCTTAGTGTTTCTCGTTAGCAGGTTAATCTAGCGTTTCTTATTAGCAGGATAACCAATATAGTGTTTTTTGTTAGCACAGTAACGAGAGGTATGCGTATTTCGCCTTTAATCAAGCTCAGAGCAAGACGCTTTTGTTTTGCTGTTTAGCGACGAGCGAACTTAATTACATTCCTTTACACACTGTAAGTTTGCGCCTTGCAGAGAGCCTCAGCTTGCCGGACAGACAGACGTGTTCAGTTACAAACGGGCGACTCTGGTTTTATTGTGCTCTCTTTGATGTAAGAGGAAGGATATAGCAGTATGTCACATAGTTTAAATTTGCTGTAGAGACATTGTGTTAGGTGGAATATATATTTATTGCCGATGTTGAAATGACTGGATAAGAAATATTATCATATGTCAGTTCATTACAAAGTTCAGGCCTATTCTATGCTGCAGTTCTGCAGGGCATCGACCCACAATATTCGGCTAATACCCAGGTACCTTCTCCTGTGTTATATAGCAAGATAGTAGTTGGTTTAGTTTAGCTGCTGTAATAAGAGTAATTGGTATAGCCTGCTAAAACCTATGTAGGATTCAGAATAAATGAAGAACCTCGCCTGGTTTATACAGTGAACGATATAGGCATTGACCTAGTTTGATTCTGGCAAGTGATCTCGTTTAGGTATTTCGGTGAACGACATTTTCTGTGACCTCAAATGGTTCTTACGGTGAACGACAAAAGCATTGACCTCACTTAAGTTTCACAGGCCCTTCTGGCTCAAACCAGAATTATTCAGCGTTTTAAACTCGTTTTATTGTGAGACTTCATGACCATTCTTTACCAATTTTTGTCGCTTGTTTGAGTTGTTCTTCAGGTCCGATCTGCCTCAGCTTGTATACAGTGATAATGTTAAGAAACCCCATGAAACTTTAAATCCTGGAGGTAACTCTTCACTAATGGGTCCTGATTAACCAAAATTTAAAGGTCTTCAGTACAATTCTTGAGCCAACAATTGCTGATATTATTTTGCAATATTCTTTGTAACTGTTTCCTATTGCTGTTACGTTAGTCTTCTAACTCTTGACTATAAGTTGTTCCTCACTTTTCACGTTTTGTACAGTAGTTAAGACAGTCTTCAGTAGCTGGACACAGCTGACAATTTCCTGCTAACGATGTTCCATCTACATAACTGGCGTAATAAAGTTGGTAGAATTACCGACAATATGTAAAGTAAAAGGACACAAGTGCAACTAATGTGACATTTATTGTGGTAACGTTTCGCTCTCCAGGAGCTTTATCAAGCCATTGGTAATGGCTTGATAAAGCTCCTGGAGAGCGAAACGTTACCACAATAAATGTCACATTAGTTGCACTTGTGTCCTTTTACTTTACATAACTGGCGTTAACAATCGAGAAACCAGAAGAGAAATCCTGAGAAATATGACTTCGGGT